ACTCCAGGACAAATGTCTGGTGGCTGACTGCAATGGCCAGCTTTAAGGTTGGTAAGAGCAGTTGCTCCAGCTGGGCCTGCTCCAATAAAAGGACTCAGTTCCTCAGCTGGGGCCTGTCTTCCATCCCAGCCTGGTGGGTAGGGGTCCTTCAGATAGGCACCTGCTCTGTATCATCAGTACAAGCTCATGGTGGATGGACAGCCCTGGACATAAACCAGAGCCAGATGTGAGGTGCAGGTGTGGGGGCCCCAAGAGGCTGTCTAGCTACCCTCCTTCCCTTTGTGGAGGCTGGCTGGCAGCCACTGTCAACGCAGAAGCTCCCAAAACACACACACAAAAACACAAATGCACAAGGCACGTTCCAGAACCACTTTAGGACAATATTTGCTCTGAACCAGAACCCTGTGGCTACAGCTGGCGTCACCTCCTGCCACCACGCATGCGTGGGTGGTGGGACATTCTTAGAGAACTGTCTTCCTGCGCTGTACATGCACATGGTTCTGCTTCTGGCCCAGTGGCATGGGCAGCACAGTGGACAGGGCTCTGTACTCTGAACTTCTGTATGTGAGGTAGGAAGTGGCCCTGCAGGGCCCAGGTGGAACCCGGAGACCTGGGATCATCTGTTACTTAAAGAGGCGCAGACTCCATTCTGGATGTCCCTGGCCTTGTTTCAGTGTTTCTGTCCCTGGGAGGTCTCACATGAGAGAAAGCTGTTGTGGTTCACCAGTGTCCCAATGTGCTCCTAGTGTGTCTATGTCATCGCGGGTGTCGCAAGGATGGAGCCTGACATCCAGCGCTTTCCACTAAGCCAAACCCAAATCCTTGAGCTCTCAGGAAGCCCCTCTCTCCATGCCTCAGTTTCCCACTCTGTAAATGGAGACATTGCTATCACCTGCCACCTACTGAGAGTTCTCAAGTACCAGGAAGGGAAGAGAAAGAATGAATGTGGTGGGCTATGGAAGAGAGAAGGGTGTGTGTGTGCACGTGTGAATTTGTTATGTACCTGTGTGATTGACTGAAGATGTGTCTGTATGCACATTTGAGTACAGATGTGAGTGTATGTAGTGCCTGTGACTCTATGTATCTGGTGAGTGCATTTGTGTATTCCAGGGTGAACCCATCTTGTACTTGTGGGTTTCAGTGAAAGTGCTTGTGTTTGGGTGTAAGATATTAGGGTGCATGCATATGAGTGTGGGTCAGCATGAATAATGGGTTATGGGGCATAGTCCTGATAAACTTCAGGGACCCCCTCCCTTCTCAAGGCTCCCATGCACCCTTCTTGGATGTATGGCTTGTGTCTGTCTTTGAATGTGCTGACAGAGCTCCTGTCCTGCCTCCAGCTCTATGGGGCACCATGTCGCAGGCCTCCTCTCCTCAGCCCCCTCTTTTCAGCCTCCCCTGAACTGTAGACCCTGCAAGGCTCTGTTCTAATGCTCAGCTCACCATCTTTGAGCTCCTTGGCATCCTCCTGCTTCCTGCCTGGGATGTGCTGGAGTGACTGGGTGTTGAGCTGCCCTAATAGAAACATAACAGGCGTAAATACCAAAGTGTACCAGTGGAAGAAATCAGAAAGGACTGCTTCTAAGAAACTGTCATCCTAGGAGAGAACAGATTCACAGGGGATAAGGCATGTCACACCTCAAAAGCTGAAATTCATTATTTGGAGCCAAAGATCAGTAAGCAGGAAGAGGCAGGGGAATGAGGTCCACAGTGAGGAACACCAGTGGGGACCGGCAGAGGCTCCACAATCACAAGTGACATATAACCAGCCTTACCTAACCAGACTTACAGCAATCTCCATATCTCCAGAAGGCCAGATCCTCAGAAAGTGGATGTTAAGCCCAGAATTTGTAACTTTCCACTTTTAATCCCATTTCACCCAAGAAAATTTTACATGACCTCACAAATATAAGATGGGTGTATAAATAAAACATTTACATTTATTTCAAAGCAATTCCTGATATACATATACATATAATTTTACCATTAATTAAAGATGAAAGAAATTTTCACATCAATGAGATGGACATGCTTGTTTCTTACATAAAGAATGAAATATGGCCTGAGTATTTGATATCACAGGCTGACATCTTCAATGTTTTTCATAGTTGTCCAATATTTTGATTTTCTGATGGTTAGTGCTGGGAACACTGATTTGAAAAAAGACATAGTACAAAGTCTCAAGAGAAAGTTTACAGTCATTTCAGAAATTGTTAGAAATTCTGTCCCCATCCTAAACCTGCCACTGTGCCTTCCTGGCCATGACAGACAATACTCTCAAGCTGTGAGCTCAGGTCAGCCCTCCCTTTCCTCAAGAGTTTTGTCACAGCAACAGGAAAGTGGCTAGCAAAGAGCTAGAAGGGGAAAAACCATCAACCCACCTATACAGGCAGAAACATCAGAATAACATCAGATCTGTCGGCAACCTTCAAAGCAGGAACATGTGGAGCAATGGGTTTCAAGCCCTGACATTCAATAAATGCTCAACCAAAAGTGTCCTATGCAAGAAATCTCTACTGTAAGATCGATGGTGGAAAAGGACATTTCAAGAGGAGCAGAAACTAAGTTCCTGGCCACCAAGCCAGCACTGCAGATGGATGAGAGGAGCAACACATACCTGAGAGAAAGAACAGTCTCGGTCACAGAGCTCAGGAAAGCATGAATGTCTCGAGAGAAAGGGCTGAACAAAGGAAAGCTAGGTGGGACTCCATCATGTCCCACATACCAAAGCAGCAAACCCTTAATACTAACAGGAGGAGTAAAGAACTAACAATGATTCAACCAATCAGAAAAAGAACCAATAAAATTACAGAAATTAGCAAAGATCTCTCAATAATAACAATGGCCCCAACTTACCAATAAAGAGACATGGACTGGTTGACTGGGTTGGAAACCCTGGCACTAACTACCTGTTGGCTCCAAGAAACGTGCCTCCTTGGTAAAGATGCAGACTGAAGGCCAATGATGGAAGACCATCTATCAAGCAAACAAATGCTTCAAACAAGGAGCATAGCTAAGACACCTGACAAAACATACTTCAAATCAAAATTACTTAGAAGAGATAAATGGCCGGGCGGTGGTGGCGCACGCCTTTAATCCCAACACTTGGGAGGCAGAGGCAGGTGGATCTCTGTGAGTTCGAGGCCAGTCTGGTCTACAGAGCGAGATCCAGGAAAGGTGCCAAAGCTACACAGAGAAACCCTGTCTCAACAAACCAAAAAAAAAAAAAAAAAAGGAAGAGATAAATGAAGCCACTATGCACTAATAAAGGGAACAATTGACCAAGAAGGCATAACAATTTTAAGCACATATACAAATAAATACTAATGGACATAAAATGTCAAATAAGTTCTGATAAAAATTACTGTGGCCAACTTCTGTACCCCACTCTCATCTTTTGATTGGCCATCAAAACTAAAAGCCAGTAAATAAACCTCAGAGTTAAACTACACCACAGATCAAATGGACTTAAGAGCTATATATTCTCTCCAAAAGATACAGAATACATGTTCTCAGCAATCTATGGAACTTTCTCTGAAATAGATCACATTCAAGGCCAAAATGAATTTTCACCAAATACAAAAGGATAAAAACAATTTCATGCGTCTTCCTTATCTTTGTCTTCCACGGTAGCTGCATCATCTTACATTCCCATCAGTTGGGCAGAAAGGTGCCAATCATTTCACTCTATGTTTTCTGTGTTGTGGCAGCAGCTGGTCATGTGAGTAAAATAGTGTCTCATTGTCCTTTTGAGGTGCATTTCCTGAGTTGCCAGAAATGCTGAGTGGTACTGAGTGACACTGGGTGATGCCAGGTGTTGAGTAATTATGAGTGATTGTGGATGATACTGGGTGGTGATGCAGGGTGATACTGGTTGATGGCGAGAACCCTTTTATGTTCCTGTTGTTCACCTTTCCATCTGTTTGGAATAAATGTCTTTCAAGCCTCTTGCCTATTTTTAACTAGGGTGTTTTATTGTTGGGCTGTGGATATTTTTGTGTGTTCTAGGCATTAGCTGCTTCTCATACACACATTTTTCAAATATTTTCCCATCCCAGAGGATTTCTCACTCTTATCCTTTGGCAGGGAGTAGGAGATGTACCCAGAAGCAGTGGGAAAAACAGTCAATGTGTTTTTCTACTCTGTGGCGTCCATGGACTAATGTGAGAAGAACTGACATCCAAAAACTATTGAATAATCCAACCCATGAAAAAAGTGGATCTCTTCACTGTTGTAAGTACTTATTTCCCCCTCAGTAATATTTAGTAGGTGGGAGCAGGAATTTTACATCTTCTGTAGATTTATCCCCAAGATTTTCATTGTTTGGGCTCATTGTCAATTTCACTTTTATTTCAGTCTCTGATTACTCATCATTAATATTTAACTATCTCATTTATATAGAGCTGAACTAATTGGCACAAAGGTCTTCATAATATTTTCTTGTTATCCTTTAACTGTCTACAGACCATAGAATTTTGTTACTTTCTTTTCTTGTTTCTATGTGGGTTGCTCTCTCTCTCTCTCTCTTCTCTCTCTCTCTCTCTCTCTCTCTCTCTCTCTCTCTCTCTCTCTCTCCTCTCTCTCTCTCTCCCCTCTCTCTCTCAAACACACACAGTTGGTGGAGTATAGAGTATGACACTGGTGAAAGGAAATAACTAGAGAATAAAGTATTGACTATACAGAAGGGAATATCAAGTATGGAAAGTGGAGAATTATCTGGGTAAACTAGAGAATGGAATCTAGAGGATCTGGTTATAGAGTGGAGCATGGAGACTAGATGCTGGAGTATGGATGATGAATCATAGGATTAAAATATGGAAAATGAGCCGGGCGGTGGTGGCGCACGCCTTTAATCCCAGCACTCGGGAGGCAGAGCCAGGCGGATCTCTGTGAGTTCGAGGCCAGCCTGGGCTACCAAGTGAGTCCCAGGAAAGGCGCAAAGCTACACAGAGAAACCCTGTCTCGAAAAACCAAAAAAAAAAAAAAAAAAAAAAAATATGGAAAATGAAGTACGGAGAAAGAAAAAACATGAAAAATAGAGTATAGTATGAAGAACAGAGAGAAAAGACGAAGAATGGAGTTTGGCATGTGAAAGGTAAAGAATGGAGTACAGGAAATGACATGCAGTAAAATGAAAATGAAGTTGGAATATGAAGATTATTGTATGGGGAATATTTACAAAAAGTGGTTAAAGCATGAAAGGTAGTATATTAACAATGGAGAATAAAGTATAGAGTACAGAGCACGGATAATGAAAAGTCAAATATGGTATGTGGAGAATAGAATTTGCGGAGTTAGTTAAGGGGGAAAATATGAGAATCTGAGTGTGCACAATATTGACAAAATAGTATGGGGTGTGAAGAATGACAGTGGCATATGAAGGATGGACAAAGGACACGAAGGATGAATAATATAGTGGAACTTAGCATGGGAGATGAAAGGTAATCATACTGAGTAATGTATCAATGATGAAGCATGAAGTAGAGTGTAAATAATGGATGGATGATAGAATAGAATGTGTTGAGAATGGAGTACCAACAATGGTAAATACAGTATGGACAGTCCAGCTTGGGATATGGAGTATGCAGACTATACTCTGGAATGGTAATGGGAGTGGGATCAGAGGAAGGGTTCTACAGAACAGAATAGAAGGTAGAATGAGTTTGAGAACAGAGGATGAAGAATGAAGAAAAGAGTGGAGTGTGGAGCATGGATAATGGAGACTAAGTGAGGAGAATGGAGTATAAACATAATAATTACCACGTATGGGAATAGAGGATGAGGTAAAGACAGAGGAGGATGAATGGAGCACAATATACTCAAAACAAAGTAAACAGACAGAAGTGTGTTAACAAACTATGGAGAGAGGAGAATGGAGAATGAATGAGAGAGGTTGGTCAATGGACCATGAGGTATAGAGGTTAGACTACAAGTGAGTAGCGTGAAGAATATAGGGGAGACCATGGAGAACTGAACATGATATAAGGATAGTATATATAGAAAGAAATATGGGGGGGAAACCATAGAGTGAGGAGCAAAGAGAGAAGAAGTTAATCATTGGCATGTGAAATGTGGAGAATATATGATGCAGAATGAAGTGCGGAGTAAGAAAAAAAAGAGTATGAAATGAGGAAATGAAGAATGAAAAGAACTTTGCGAATGGATCTTGAAGCATGGAGAAGAGGAATGTAGAACAAAGGAGGGAATATCAAGTGTAAGTAGAGGCATAGATGGGAGAACATGATGAACAGAGTGTGAGATATGGAGTCTGAGTACAGAAAATGAAGTATGGAGAATAGGAACAAAGTCTGGAATAGCAGAATGGTGCCTTAGTTAGGGTTTTTATTGCAGTGAAGAGACACCATGAACATAGCAACTCTTATAAAGAAAACATTTAATTGGGGCTTGCTTACAGTTTCAGAGGTTCAGTCTATTACTATCATGATGGGAGCATGGCGGCATGCAGGCAGACATGGTGCTGGAGCTGAGAGTGCTACATCTTGCAGGTAACAGGAAGTCAACTAACAGTCACACTAAAGGAAGCTTGAGCAAAAGAGACCTCAAAGCCCAGACCACAGTGACACATTTCCTCCAACAAGGCCACACCCACTCCAACAAAACCACACCTTCTAATAGTGCCACTCCCTATGAGATTATTGGGGCCAATTACATTCAAACTACCACAAATGGGAAATGGAGGAGAAAACGTGAATGGAAATGAGTTGTGGAGAATAGAGTGCACAGAATGAAGTATGGCTAATGGGTTGAGAATGAAGAATTGAGGGGAGAAAAGGGTAAACCAATATGCAGGGTTGTAAATGATTTCTTTTACCATTTATTATAACAACAAAACCCGTGCACAAATAATAAAGAACAAAATAGAAACCTGAGTCGAGTCACAAGCCACTGAGAACACCCACCAGTGCTGGCTTCCCAGCTCCAAAAGGGCCCAAGACACCCTCTGGCCCCACCTCTTCCCTTCAGGTCACTCTCTCTTTCTCTCTCTCTCTCTCTCTCTCTCTTCTGGGTCCTCCAAGGCAGCAGGCTGATCCATTCTGGCCAGCTGAATGGAAACTCTGCCTCTTTTCAATTGAATAACAGACCTGCAACATAACAGAAATCCCGTAACTTGGAGTGTAGCAACAGAGTTTGGCATGAGGGAGCTGGAAAACAGAGAGGAAAACGTGATAAATGGAGGAGAAAGTATGAGTATAGAGTATGCAAAAGTGAAGTATGGAAACAGAGTGTGGAGTGGGAATGAAACACAGGAGAACATGTGAATGCAGCATGAAATGGAGGGTACAGGGTGTTAAATGAAGTATAACATGAGAGCGGAGTATGAAGTGAGGAGACTCGAGAATGGAAAGGAGAGCATAGTGCATGGAGTATGTGATATGGAGGAAACACCGTTTAAATTGAGGCTGGAGTATGGAAGCACTGTATGGAGTGAGGAGATAGCAAAAGTAAGGCTGAACATGGTGAGTGGAGCATGAGGTACACAACATAGAACATGAAGAAGGGAAGAGAGAACTGATTGACAAGAATGGTGTATGGAGTGTGTGACACAGTGAGGAAAGTATGAGGACTAGACAATATGTGGAACAAAGCATAGAGAGAACTAAATGGAGCGTACAGTCCAAAGGATAGCATATGTAGGCTGAAGTATACAATGTGGTACCAGTGTGTTGGGTGGGGAGAGTAAAGATGTAAAGAGAACTTAATGAATGGAGTGTGGGGTTTGGGGAAGAGATGATGTACAATGAAGTGAGGAGTGAGGTATGAGAAGACTGGCAAACAGAGGGATGACATGGAACACACAGCATGCGAAATGGAAGTGGTGTAGAATGAAGTATGAGTATGAAAACAAAGTATGAGTGAGGAGAATGGAGACGGGGGAGGGCTTAATCAATGGAGTGTAATGTGCAGCGATTAGACTGTGTAGAAAGAAGTATAAAGAAAGGAGGAGGAGAACGGAGGGGAGGTCATGGTGACTGGTGCATGACATATAGAGAAGGGAGTACACACAGAGAGAAATGTGGAAACAGACTATGAAGTGGGAAGAATGGAAGATGGGGGAGAACTTGGTAAGTGGTGTGTATGAAATAGAGAATAGACTATGTAGAATGATGTATGGAATACAAAATGGAAGTATGGACAATAGAGGGGAGAACTTGGTCAATGGACAGTGAAGTATTGTGACATAGCAGACTATGTACAATGATGCATGCATTATGGAGTTAGGAGAATGGAGGACAGATGTGGTGAATGGTGCATGACGTATGGAGACGACACTGTAGAATGATGTGTGGAGTATCACAACAGTATATTATGACCAAACTGTGAACGGAAATCATACAGTGAATAGAGTACAATGTATGGAGTCAAAAAGTGAGAAGAATAAAACAGGGATTATAGGACTAGAGTATGGAGTGAGTGAAGAAATGGCTAAAATAAGGGCTAGCAGAGTGAACAGAGCATGAGGTGTACACTATAGAGAATGCAGAGTGAACTACACATGAAGAATGGAGTGAAGAGAATGGAGAACTGAGTATATTGTATGGTGACTAGAGTATGAGGCATGGAGAATAAGAGTGTAGAATGAACTATGGGATGTGGGGAAAGAGTTTGGAGAGAGGAGAACAGAGACTGGAGAGGACAGCACTGTGGATGGAGCACGTGGTCAGGAAAACAGAGAATGTAGAATGAAGTGTGCAGTGTGTAAATGGTGTTCTGTGTAGAAGACCAGAGATGTAATGGAGAAGTTCATGAAGAGAGCGTGAAGCACGGAAAATAGACCTTGTCCAAAAACTATGTAATATTGTAATATCTAGTCAAGAGGATGGAGAATACAGAGGGGGACATGGTGACTGAACACGTATGGACAGTAGAGTGTACAATATGAAGTGTGGAGTATGATGTGAAGCAGTTAGGAACAGAAGGAGAAATGTGGCAAGTGGACTGTGATGTATGGAGATTAAAGTGTGAGAGGTAAGATATGGAGCACAGGAACAGGGGAGAGGAAGGAGAACGGATCAGAGAAATGTGAGGTGTGGAGGACAGACTATGTGGGATTATGTATGGAGTAGGGAAACAGAAGCCAGAGTAAGGAGAATGGAGAGACAATGAATGCATATAGACTAAAGTAAGTAGAACAGTAAGTGTGTGAACAGAGTAAGGACAGTAGAGAACAGAGAAGAGAACTTGGCCAATGGAGTGTGTGATGGGAAAAGCATGGAGAATGGAGGAGAGAGATTGAGAATGGGTTTATAAAATGGTGGATGAAGCCGGGCGGTGGTGGCGCACGCCTTTAATCCCAGTACTCGGGAGGCAGAGGCAGGCGGATCTCTGTGAGTTCGAGGCCAGCCTGGTCTCCAAAGCGAGTACCAGGAAAGGCGCAAAGCTACACAGAGAAACCCTGTCTCGAAAAACCAAAAAAAAAAAAAAAAAAATGGTGGATGAAGATGTAGGTGTGCAGTAGAGAGTATATGGAATGAAGAATTATGGGAACAAAGCATGGACAAGGAGAATAGAAAATAGGGAATAATATGGTGGATGCACAATGAAATGTGGAGAAGAGAGGATGGAGAGTCCTGTATAGAGAGAAGATACAGAGAATGGAAAAGGGAACCTAGTGAATGGATACAAGGTGTGGAGAAAACACTCTACAGAATGAGACATGGAATTTGGGAACAGATTATGGAGGGCAGAGGCTAGAGGAGAGTGTACATCATGATGGACGATATGATGTATAGAGGATAGACTTTGTAGAATGCAGTGCAGTGTGTGGGAACAGAGCGGAGAGAGGAGGGTGGAGAGGTCAGCACTGTGACTGGATCATTGGCTGTGGAGAACGGAGGGTACAGAGTGACATGCACATTTTCTAAGCAGTGTGCTGAGTGACAAGAATAGAGATGTCAGGGAGGACTGGGGGAAGAGGGTGTGAGGTGTGGAGAAGAAGCTGTGCACAACGAAGCATGGACTATGGAGTAAAAATGTGGAAAACAGAGAAGAAAGCATGGTGAATGCAGCAGGAGATACTGTTGCTTTTCTGTCAGCACAGAGGCTGCACTTTAATCTGCTGCTATTTTAGCCAGAAAATGCAGCTCTGCAGTTACTGGCCTACTTCTCTGGTAGCAGCCAAGCTGCTCAGGCCATGGCCTGGTGGGAATTCTGTTTCCACAGGCACCAGGTATGTCGCTGTTGTCAAATATAGTTTTTAATTGAATCTCTGTTGTTCTTTTTATCAATGAGACTTGGGAGTCAAAGGCTGAGGTGAAAACCCACTAGCTCAGAGAGGTTGAGCAGCAACTAGCTGACCTTCTCTCTTTGCCAATATCTCCAAAAGAGAGCATCCTTCTGCTCGCCAAAACAAAAGAAGCCACACTACACTAAGTCCCTCCCTACTGCTTCCTGTGTATCTCTCTATCATCTTACAAACACTCTGTGACTCTGTATGATTACTTTCTGTCAACTAGTTGCTAACTTGGCCTTTGATCCGAGGTTGATTTCGTTTAATTAATGCAAATGCAAACTTGGGGCTCACAGTGTGATCAAATATCCCACAACAAGATACAGAGAATAAAGTGTGTAGAATGAACATGGTATATGAGAACAGAGTATAGAGAGTGAGGAGAATGGAAGAGAGAATGTGGTGAATGAAGAAAGTTAGAGAAAGGACCGTGTAGAAGATGTATGGAGTACAGAGAGAAAAGGACACACAGAATAAAAGAGAGCATTGTAAATGGAGTAGGAGGCATGGAGAAAACACTGTAGAATGAAACGTGAAGGAAGGGACCAGAGCTTAGAGATAAGAGGTTGTGAATGTAGGGGAAAATGTTATGAATGAAGCATGGGGTGTGCAGTGTAGGCTATGCAGAGTGAAGCATGAAAACAGGGAATAGGCTGAGTAGACTGGAAATGGAGTAGATAACATAGTGAACAGAGTATGGGATATGGAGAATAGACACTACTGACCAAACTATGGTATACAGAAATGCAGTATGAAGAGAAGCAAGTGGAGAACGTAGGACCTAGCCCTGTGAGTGGGGCATGAGGTACAGAGAATGATATAAGAAGAATTGTCTAATGTGTGAACAATGTTGGATGAGAAAAGTAGAGGATGTCAGAGAGAACCTAGTGAATACAGTGTGTGGTGTAGACAATAGATTATGCACAATAAAGTATGAAGTACGGAGTTAGAAGAATGCAACACACAAAGGGGATAACATGGTGAATGGAGCTTAGGATTTGGAGATAGAGTGTGGGGAATGAAGTATGGAATATGAAAACCATGTAAAGAGAGAGGAGAATTGAGCATGGAAAATGAAATATCATATATAGAGAGAAAAATATGCAAAGGTTGTTTGGAGTATGGAACAGAGCATGGTGAGAAGAGAATGGAAAGTGGGAGAACGTGGTGAATGGAGTAGGAGGTGAAGAGAAAAACTGTAGATTGGAAAAAGCATATGGAAACTGTACTGAGGAAACGGTGAATGTAGCAGGGCACTTTTGAATGGGGCATGAGATATGCAGTGTAGAGCAGGCAGAATGAAGCATCAGAATAGAGAATGGCATGAGGAGAATGAAAATTGTGGATGACATGTTGAACAGAGTGTGAGGTATAAAGAACAGACCATGCAGAACAAAGTACAGCACATGGGAACACAATACAGCAAGAGAAAAACGGACAATGGAGAGAGCCAGCCCTTGGATGGAGCAGGAGGTGTGGGGTATCAAGTAAGGACAATAAAATGTGGACTACAGAGTGAGGAGGATGGAAAACAGAAACTATAACATGGCAAGTGGGACATGGAATGAGTGTGTGGATGAAATTTAGAGTATGAGAACAGAGCATGGAGGGAGAAGAAAGAAGTGTGGAGTATGGACTGAGAAGAGTAGAGGAAGGACCATGGTGAACAGTCGTGATGTAAAGAGGGTCGGTAAGTAGAAAGGCATTTGGGAACACAACGTGGAGTGGGGTGACTAGAGAATGCTCGGCACTGGTGAGTGGCGTGTGAGATAACAAGAACAAATTATGTACAATAATATGTTAAAACAAAGAATGGAGAGAGGAGAATGGAGAAAGGAAGGGAGAACTTAGCCA